AATCCACAATCTCAGTCCCAAAGTCGAGTCAGATTTTCTTGAATAATGCAAATGCAGATTTCATCAAACTCAATCTAATTGATTGATTTATAGATACGTTAGCTTCATCGCAACTGCTAGAAATCAGCATCGAGATGAAATGAACTCCGTAGCTAAGCTACGGTGGCTTACAGGTCCATTAGTGAAAATCTCTTGCTTGATATTCTGGGGGATCGCTGGTAGACGGCCAAAGCTCTTAGCACGGTGAAGATCTCTGATATAGAGTGAATATGAAGTCTCCATCTGGTGTGCTCCTACTGCTGAAGGCTGGTCTTGTATGCTTTATTGGTGCATTTAGTTTGGCATGCAGGAGAGGAGTAACCCGCCTACGACTAGAGAATCCACCACCATGTGATGACGCCACTCGGAACCCTATGTTACACTTACTGCCGGACATGCGGGATATCTGCTGGCCGCCGAGCGTACATGATTGCACTTCGGGAATGGATACGGCCAGCAGCCATCAGCGCTACTCAGTTGCCTGGCCGGTTTGAATTCATCACCTACGAAGGCTACGAGTGATGCTAATCCGAAGAGGAGTCGATGCCGGTCTCAAACTCACCCAACTTGAGTGATCTGAGTTGAATATTCTTACCAGTAACAATGCCATGATTTTTCAGGAAGTTCAGACCTTCAAGCAGGTTGCCACCCTGACAGCCCTTCGCTCTGAAGATGAAGTAAATCTTAGCTGTCATTCAGAGAACGCATTGCCATCGTCCGTGGTTGAATGCATTTCTCTCACTTGGGACATCCATTAGCAGGATTGCAGCATGAAGTGAAGTAACCGACAGATAGGATATCTCTGAAGCTACCGCCGGACTTGATGCACACACGATCATTGAGCATTCCGGTTGAGCTTACAGTCCAGCAGTTGTGACAAGCACTTTGATCTCTGAAAGATGGACCTCCATCCAGGAACTACCATAACAGCAGTAGAGAGGACTACCTCACATGCCCAATGACTCCAGCACAAGAGGCAAACTTCTGCCGAGCGTCGAAGTTACTTGGTAAGTCCGTCAATTCCGGCTTTGTGGGTCCGAGGAGGCGAGTTTCGTCATCAGAAGTAGAAGAGGGCTTCGGACCGTTGGGACACCCAGTAGGGACATCTTTGATTGACATACCTGTCGAATAGTAGCACTGGTTCTCGACT